CATACATACACTAGTATATATATATATATATATGTATATATATATATATATATATATATTATTATTAGTATTATTATTATTATGGGGTATATGCGTGTATACATAGTGCATTATGGGTGTATTTATACGTATAATATCATGGGTGTATATCTATATAAATATGTTGTATCATGGTTAGCGTATATATTCGTATGCATATTATATTATGGTTGCTTATGTACGTACGGACTATATTATTGTTGTATATATGTGTACGTATTGTATTATTGGTGTATATAATTGCATATTATATCATGGTTGTATATTATATACATGTTATATTATGGGTGTATATCTGAAATAGTATCATGGGTATATATATATATATATATACGTGTTTAATTATGTATATAAATTTACATTATATTGTTGGTATGTATATATACAGTCTGTGACGGATTACTATCGTATCTTGCTGTTCTAATCTAAATAGGACGCCAGCGTAGCATATAGGTTTCTCTTATTATTCTCGCTATCTCACAAGTAACAACCGATGTATTACAGGTTTATCTCAGGTATATATTTATTATATTAAAATGTTGCATCACTCCATCACAGTCTGAAGAGAAGCGGATCATCGAACTTCTGCAGAAACACAATGAGAAGTTCATTAACATAGCTATCAACTACAACGAGTACCGTGAACAGCCCATGCTGCACGAAGGCTTTGGCGCAGTGGATGTATTGCATGACACCACAGAGTTCAGAGAGGAGAGCTTGAAGCGCAAGTGTGAGGTGTGTTTATTTTTTTGGACGTTGAAGGTGAATATATGTATATATATATACGTGAAGCTGTGACTATTACGCCGTGGTTGAATTAGTGCATTGTGTTATCCAACGTGTCCAGTATATATGGACAGCGTATAGATGTAACACAGATCGTCCTGCAAGTTAAAGTGTAGATCCTCAATCGCATGTGAGAGATACGTCTAGTATTATTCTTCCCATTCTGTCACGCATATGACATCCAACAGGGTAAGTATGCATCAGTTCACACCACGCAGGTCGTTAGTATATCCTAATGAGTCAACCGAGTGCCATTATACAAACTAACAAATTAGGACTACCTAAAACCCAATAACACAGGTCAATGCATACTCCCGCCTATGAGTTACGTACCACACACATGCGTGTTTTATTAATAATACGGTCGAGTAAAATTTTTATGTCGTCAAGTGAATGTTTTAAAATTCACACATATCCTTTTTGTCTCCTTTTTCTTTCTCACACACACTCATTTTCACACCCCTATCTTTATTTTATTCGTATATATATATATATATATTCAGCATTTTCTCCATTCTCTTCTTCATTTTCTTTCTCTCTCTCTCTCTCTCACACACACACACACACACACACACACACACACACATATATATA